CTCTCTCTCTCTCTCTCTCTCTCTCTCTCTCTCTCTCTCTCTCTCTCTCTTTCTCTCTTTCTCAGTTGAGTATAAATGCAATCATATATCGGTCATATAATTTGCGATAATTGCTGCATACCGGAGGATAAAGGCGAAGAGGAAGAAGTGATGGAGGTGGAGAAAGAGGGAGAGACAGAGATGAAACTTGCCAACATTTCAAACAGTTTTTGCCACTTAAATATGCACAAGAAGTATTCCAAAAAAGAGGGAAAAAAATATTACCCGAATGTAATTGGATATTAATAGCCTAGCACTTAACATATGACCTAATTACCACGCACACAAAACAGTTATAAAAAGTCACCGATTTATATCGGAAACATTTCACGATTTGACATCAAAACCTAAACATGACGATATGATAATTGCCTATTTATAGTCGGCATTATTTTCGTTGAGCTGCCTAATTGAGAGCAGTTTTATTGCAATTAATGTTAAAATATAACGAGAGAGACTGTTAACAGAACATTAATATGAGCTGTTAAATGTAACATGCTCATGTGGGTAAGATGGGGACTGTTAAGCTATTGGTGAGAGAGAATGTTAAAGAGATGCTGCTGTTATGCTTAACAGGAAATGTTAGGTATAAGGAGATTCCAGTGCTGTTAATAAGTGATAGCTGTTAAAGGAGATTCCAGTGCTAGTGATAGCTGTTAAATGGCAAACTTTACGCTCACATGCTATCGCCAGCTGTAAGGCTAGCTTGTAGACGCAACAAACCAAAAATGATAAGCAAATTTTAAATGTTTTCAAAGTAAACCAATACGATAAGGCACTCAAAAAGCAGTAAGCAAAGACTGTCAAGCCAGAGCAAACAAATGTGTGCTGTTAGCTTTAACATGCGAATGTTAATGCAAATGCTATGTAAATAGAATTAGCAAAAGTACTTTGAATGCTAACTGTGTGTAAGTTCTCACTGAATTGCCGGGCTTGAGAGTACTTCAAGGATTTTCTATGAAACATTTCATCAACTATGCACACAGAGACATTCGTACATACATATTTAGATATGTACATATGTATATACTACATACACAATGGCTTATGAACGTGACAATCAGCGTGTGTGTGTGTGTGTGTGGGTTGGTGTGTGTGCCAGCTGCGAAGCTTTTGTAATGCTGGAGCCAAAACTCATAACAGCATTACCCGCTTTACTTAACTAACTCATTTAAAAGTTTCACTAATAGCATGTCACACATGTGCTTAGCCCAATTAAAATGTGGTCAGGGCGTGGCACATATGCTGCCCGCATGTGAAGGCACTGGGCGAGGCTAGTGGATCGAGGTGCGAGGCGGGTAGATAGCTGCAAGGAGTCTAGAGCAGAGCAAGGCATCTGTTCTATTTGATGCACAAAAAGTAACTGCAGCAGAATGCGTGCGCCATTGTGTCGTGGCACGGCCTGGCCTGGCCTGACTTTCCATTTATATTTTAAGTGCTATTTTTATAGAGTTTTCTATACCCTGTAAGTTATTATAAATGGCATAGAATGGACTCTCTAGAAGTATATGTAATTAGAAGGTGTGAAAAGGAGTATATAAACTAGTTTATAACGTCTAAATGAACAGGATTTTCTTGAGAACAGGATTATCTCTATAAGGCATAGATATTTCGAATTTGGAACATACATATAATCCAGCCTAAGATGACATTAAGAATGAAACAACGGCTCTTTGTCCGTTTTAGGGTATCAAAAAGTCAAGCTCACCCGACAAAAGCACTCTAGATACAGCTATCTCTCGTTCTGACATGCTCTCTCTCTCTCTCTTTCTCTCTCTGATTCACTCTTAACTTAATTAGCAGGCGGCGCATTTTTAATGCGTGCGGCAAAGTCTTTTTTGTCGCACCTGCATAAGGAATGCGAGCACAATGAAATGTTTAAACGGGGTCTTCCCTCTATACATATATGTATATGCATATATAAAGAAACGAGCGAAAAAGAGTTGCATAAAAGGATAACACAGCGAATTAAGGTTAAACGCTTCATTATAATTATGCGGCTCAGCGATTTGGCATTCGCACATGCTGCCCCAGCAGAAAAGGACATGCGGCCTTAGCAACACGCATGTCCTATAAATCATCATAAATACTCAGCTAATTAGCTTTAAGTGTTCTCGGCAAATATTTGAATTAGTTTATTGACAAGTCAATCAAAGCAGGATATTGAAACAGACACAGACACACGCACGAACGCACACACACACACACACACAGAGAGAGAGATTCAAATGCATTTATTTGCATATTTCACTTAAAGTGTCAAGCTAAGGAGACACAGACAGGCCGGAGATAGACAGAGATGGAGATAGACAGAAGACAGACAGACAGAGAAGCAGAGGAAACACTTCTGATTGTCAACGACACTTGCAAATTATCAAAACTTTTGTGTATTTACCCGACACACAGACACACACACACATACACTCACATACATATATACATCCTGTGCGTGTCCTTTTTGGCTTTTTTGGCACAGATTTATCAAAGCTCAAAGCCAATTCAAATGCAAATAGAGAACGTCATATTATTTGCCAAATATTTAAATAACATTTCTATGCAAATATTTGTCAATTGACTTGTACAAATTTTGTTATTATAGATATACGCATATATATACGTATGTGTCTGTGCATATGTATATACATATATTCATATAGTTGTAGTTATTTATTTCTTGTGTTCTAAATGATTGCCAGCAATGCTTGGCCAGAGTTTGCCGACTGTTTGCTCGTTAGCTTGCTGTTTCCGATGCTCTTCATAAAAATGCAATGCAATTTAGCTTAAGTTCAATGCATTTCATCATAAAATATAGAAATCTATATATATTTATATATGACTTATGAGAAGAGAGCAAACGTTGACAAACTCAAATATCTTTAAAATAATTAAAAATTTAATAAACATAAGATACGAACTAGATACATTGAAAGGCATAAGAGTTTAAGACCTTATTTTGCAATATTTAAATGTAGTAATATTGTACTAAAGGTGGTTATAGTAGTAGTAAAAGTAGTAGTATTAGTAATAATAGAAGTAGTAGTAGTAATAGTAGTAGTAATAATAGTAGTAGTAGTAGTAGTAATAGTA